ATACTATTGGGAGCTCTGTGTATGAAGAGTCTGTGAGAATATTCTATGCAAATTTGTTTGTAAATGATAAAGATGACTTGGAGTCCATGGTTCTAGGCACTCGAATTGTTCTTGACTCGTATCAATTTGAAAAGATTTTTTCTGCTAAGTTTGACGGGTATGAAGTTTTTGTGGAAAATTCCTCGCCAAAAGATTTTGAAGTTTTCTTAGAAGAAGCAAAAGCCTTCCTATCTGATAATCCTCCCGACATTGGTCCCAAAAATCTAAAGTTTGAACACCGGGTTTTGGCCCACATGATAGCCAACATTTTACTTCCTAGAACTAGGTCCCTTAGCACTTTGTCTACCGGAGATATCATTGTTCTTTACTGTCTTGTGAATGATAAAAAACTTAACTGGTTTGTATGGATACGTCAATACATGCTTGAGAGTATCAGGAATATATCCTCCTCTGCTGCTTGTCTACCTTATGGTCTACTTATCTCACACATTCTTGGAGTTATGAAGGTTGATTTGCACTACTAGAAATTCGATAAAAACCAACCAAAAAAATGACCAACGTTGGTCGGTAATGGCCAAAAACCGACTAAAATGCGACCATTTACGTGTGGACGGTATTTTTGTGGTCGGAAAGGCATACCGACCAAAGTTGGTCGACAATTACCGACCAACTTTGGTCGGTCAATTAAATTCAAAAAAAATATTGCAAAAAAAAAATCGACCAAAGTTGGTCGGTATTTTAATTATGTAATAAAAAGATTCACCATCTGGGAATCGAACCGGGGTCTGTACTGGGGCAGGATACTATTCTACCACTACACCATTGGTACATTTTATTTTAAGACCGTCTTTTATTTGATTTATACTCTTTAATTGTATTTTCGCACGAAAATAACCGACCAAAGTTGGTCGGTTTTATTAAAAAGTAAAATTACCGACCAAAGTTGGTCGGTTTTTTTAAATGACCGGCCGAATTAACCGACCAATTTTGGTCGGTTTTTTTAATATTAATTTTTATTTATTTTAATTGAAAAACCGACCAAAGTTGGCCGGTTTCTTGAAATATAAATTTTGCGGGACTCAAAAATAATTTTTCGCATTTTTACGCCAAAGAAAACCGACCAAAGTTGGTCGGTTTCGTAAAAAAAAATATTTTGAAAAACCGACCAACTTTGGTCGGTTTTTTGATCGACTAAAGTTGGTCGGTCGACCTTGGTCAGTTTTTGCCAAATTTCTAGTAGTGTTGGCACCTTTCACACCCAAGCATATTACTAGTACCTATGACAAAATAGTTTTTTCTATGATGGGTTACACTTTAAGTGATGATTGATGGGTCAAGCGTGCCATAGTAGAAAGTGTCCCAGCACAGGTTGAAATTCCCACTGAACCACCAGAGTCTCAGTTAACTGCCTCTCCAAATCTTCAGCAAATTCAGCAATAGCTGGATAGTGTAAAACTCAAGCTCGTTGAGATGAAAGGACATGTAGACAAAATCAAGTAAGTCACCAAGGAAACAGATACATATGTGGCCAAGATTATGATGGATATGGGAGCCACATGGAGACAAGGAACTAGGGCATTAAACTCCATGACAGAAAAATGGACAAACTCATCAAAGATGTTGAAACCTACTATGACTCTTTCTGTACCAAAGTAATCAATACCCTCAAGTACTTTCTGAGGAGAAATTAAGGCGTGTTTGTGTGTGTGTTAAAAACATTTTTTTTTGTGCTTGCTTTGTGTTTAAGACTTACTTTTGCATCGGTCTGTATGAACCATCACTCAATGCCTCTGCCGAAGGCATTGCTTATGATTCCCTAACTAGTATGTATATTATCTAAATATTATTTTCTCTGTTATATATATATATATNACAACTCAGGGGGGAGCAGTAATGAGCAACAACTCAGGGGGAGCAGGCATCTCAAGTGATGAAAGGGAAGTATAGCTTGTTTACTCTCTCTTTATTGTCATCATCAAAAAGGGGGAGATTGTTACATTTGGCATCTAAGTTTTAATGATGACAATTGTGCAAAACTAAATCCTATCTATTTTGGTTGCAGAATCAAAGGAGACGATACTAGGGCAAGAAGCTATCAAAAAGTAAACCAAATCGGTTGGCTTAAAAAGAGAAAATCAATCAATACCGATCGACTTCTCCATTATGCAAAAACAGTAGGAAAGGACGAAAGCAATGGGAGACAAATTGAGTGGGGAACACAACATAGTGGGAGACAATTGGAAGTGTTGCCTCTCTCTTCAATATAGCATAAAGCACTCCTTGGATAAATTAATCCAATGGAGACAACTTGAAGTGTTGCCCATTTCCTCAATAAAGCATGGAGCATCTCGGCATGGAACAGAGCACTCCTTGAATAAATTAATCTAGCCCATCCTTCTTGAAGAAATTAGATACTCCTTTCGTTAATCAAAAGATCAGTAACATATTGTGGGTATCAATATATCAATACACAACAATACCCGCTTATAAGAACACTGAAAAACTCAAGGATTCAACTGCGCAACTACAAACACTATCTTCTAATAAGTCTCTCTAGTTCTTGATACAAGCACTGTATTCTTAAGTCTACAAGTGTCATAAAAGATAGGAAGAGTTAGAACACAAAAGAGAGTTGTGTCAATATCCATAAATCATTGTTGCTAAATATCGTTGGTGGTGAACGAGCTAAAACCATCATTGTTGTAATTTCTTATCAAGATCTAAGAGAACCCTTGTGACCCAAAGAAAACTGGACGTAAGTACCACATCGGTACCGAACCAGTATAAAAACTATTGTGTCTTGTTTTGCTTTCAATTCATTGCATTCATCTCTATCTTATCTGTGTATTGTACGAAAACTAGTCGACTAAACTCAATCTTAGTCAACTAAGTTTTAAATAGTCCATAATTCACCCCTCATCTTGTGCTTTCAAGTTACACCTGTGCAGTTATGGGAGCGATACAACACGGAGTTGTGACCTTTATATATACAATCCAAACAAAAGAAATCTGATAAATTCAGGAGAAGTCAAACCTATAGAATTATATCTGCTTTTATGGAATTACCCAAATGAAAAAGTTGACAAAACATAAATAGAAGGAGTAGGGGTAGAGCCACCAACAATACCACCAGTCTACCTTGTTGCTTCCGTTGTTAAACTTTAGCACAAATCAATATCGTATCTCTATATCACAAAAATCAAATAAAATAAGATCGGCAAAGAATCACTAAATTGATATGTGTTTGTCTACTTTCTATCTCGGAATTTATATTGATCGAATATAATTAAGTGCTAACCGAATATGTAAAGAAACATATCATATATTCACTGAGTTGATGAACCTTGGGCTTGAGTGAATTCTAACAATAACATACTATTAAACATTAAGATAGTTACTATTGCTTTAGAAACTGTACAAAATTCCTAAGTTTATGATACTCATCTCAGTGGTACAAATTCAGATAATAGGCACAATAATTAAATAAAAGTAGATGTTGATAGAAAAAGTTAACTTAGATGAAAAAGGGTAGAAGGAACACATTATTAACTAATAATATGTCGATCTTTTACTGAAAAACAAATGCTTCTCTTCTTACTTTGTGATCGAATCAGCAAGAAAATAAAGCGAAATGATCAAAAGCTTAATTTATTCTGCCCGCCAGCATGTACATAAACACATAACAAAATTATTTTCTCTATTTAAAAAACAATAAAGAGAACAAAATGTGAATTTTAGATATAATGTAGAAATTTTAGATAAGAAGAAAAGTTAGCGGCAATGATTAGTGCAACTGTTGTCTGTGACTAAGAAAACTATTGGGATATTGCCCTACGTTTTCGTTGTAGCTTCATATATCCGCTTGTAATTTTAGTTGTCCCATGTGTACATCTTACGGTAGTTGATTCTTCTATATAAAACATTTGAGAAAAGTAATGTTCCTTCTCATATATGGACCTATATTTGCTGTCACTTTCTATCCGCACAAAGAAAAATAAGACCATAGTATTGATTTTGATTAGTGCAACGGTTGACAAAGAAAATTACTAGGATATTACCCTTCATTTTCTTTGTAGCTTCATATATCGGCTTGTACTTTTAGTTGTCTCTTGTGTACATATTACAGTGCAATTTGGTGCAAGTAGGGTGGGTGGTCTTTGAAGGAATTTCCTACTTCCTTCTATTACAGTGCAAAGAAAACCCTATAACAATAATAATTCTAATCAACTGCAGTAGAACATTAAGAAGAAACTTCACAAAAAACTCCTATTATTTACTTTCTATTAGGAGTAAGTGAGAAACCGAAGGCGGATCTAGGATTTTGGGAAGATGGGTGCACTGTTACGAAGAGGCGAATCCAGAATATAAATTTTACGGGTTCAACGTTTGGTTCTTATTATTGCACCCATTATAATTTAGAATTATAAGTTCAAACTTATTATTTTTTAATAGTAATTTTCTTACATCTATATCCATACTTCGTGCTGAAAATGTTGGGATCAGTTGAACCCAATAGCATACTACTGGGATATTGCTTTGTATTTTCGTTGTAGCTTCATATATCGACTTGTACTTTTAGATATCCCTTGTGTACATATTACAGTGGAATTTCCTACTTCCTTCTATTACAGTGCCAAGAAAACTCTATAAGAATAATAATTCTAATCTAACTGTAGTAGAACATTAAGAAGAAGCTTCACAATAATTTCCTACCACATTAAATATTACAGTATGTATCAGTTGACTAGGTCCTATACCAATAATTCTTTGTAGTAGAACATTAAGAAGAAGCTTCACAATAATTTCCTACCACATTAAATATTACAGTATGTATCAGTTGACTAGGTCCTATACCAATAATTCTTTGTAGTAGAACATTAAGAAGAAGCTTCACAAAAAACTCCTACACTATTTAATTACTTTCTATTAAATAATAGAAAGAGAGGGACGTTTGTGTTTGAATAATTCAATTCAACTGGGAAAGGTAAACTCTTTCTTTGTAGCTTCATCCACGAATTTCCTATTTCCTTCTATTAAAGTTCAAAGAAAACCCAGTACCAATAATTCCTACTATAGCATTAACTCTTATTTCTTCTAACCTATATATAACTTTGTTGAAAATATCATCTATTGTTCTCTTACCATAACCATAATTTTTTCACATACAGTTTTCTTACTCTTTTCAGAGAATTAACGACTCCATGGCATCTTCTTCTTCTGCTAGATGGAGCTATGATGTTTTCCTAAGTTTTAGAGGTGAAGATACTCGGAAAACATTTACAAGTCACTTATACGAAGTCTTGAATGATAGGGGAATAAAAACCTTTCAAGATGATAAAAGGCTAGAGTACGGTGCGACCATCTCAGAAGAACTCTGTAAAGCTATAGAAGAGTCTCAATTTTCCATCGTCATTTTCTCAAAGAATTATACAACATCGAGGTGGTGTATGAATGAACTAGTGAAGATCATGGAATGCAAGACTCAATTTGGACAAATTGTTATACCGATATTCTATGATGTGGATCCATCACATGTTCGGAACCAAAAGGAGAGCTTTGCAAAAGCCTTTGAAGAACATGTAACAAAGTATAAGGATGATGTTGAGGGAATACAAAGATGGAGGATTGCTTTAACTGCAGCGGCCAATCTCAAAGGCTCATGTGATAATCGTGACAAGTGAGTTAAAATCACATAAGCTGAATTCTTTGCATTCAAATGAGTTAAACATAATCTTAAATAAATTTTTCAAATTTTCGGAATAAGTAATGATAAGTGATTATATATGTTTCTATCAATTTAGTTACAAACTCAATAACATTGTTACGTAGATAAAATTTTAATTAGTATTCAAAGAGTTTGATTTATGTGCACACTCCTTGTATATATCACAATCTTCTTACTTTTGTAGGACTGATGCAGAATGTATTCGGCATATTGTTGGCCAAATCTCATCCAAATTATGCAAGATTTCTTTATCTTATTTGCAAAACATTGTTGGAATAGATACTCATTTAGAGAAAATAGAATCCTTACTAGAGATAGGAATCAATGATGTTCGGATTATGGGGATGTGGGGAATGGGGGGAGTCGGTAAAACGACAATAGCAAGAGCTATGTTTGATACTCTTTTAGGAAGAAGGGATAGTTCCTATCAATTTGATGGTGCTTGTTTCCTTAAAGATATTAAAGAAAACAAACATAGAATGCATTCTCTGCAAAATATCCTTCTCTCTAATCTTTTAAGGGAAAAAGCTAATTACAAAAATGAGGAGGACGGAAAGCACCAAATGGCTAGTAGACTGCGTTCTAAGAAGGTCCTAATTGTGCTTGATGACATAGATGATAAAGATCATTATTTGGAGTATTTAGCAGGTGATCTTGATTGGTTTGGTAATGGCAGTAGAATTATTGTAACAACTAGAGACAAGCATTTGATAGGGAAGAATGATGTAATATATGAAGTGACTGCACTACCTGATCATGAATCCATTCAATTGTTCTATCAGCATGCTTTCAAAAAAGAAGATCCAGATGAGTGTTTTAAGGAGCTCTCATTGGAGGTAGTAAATTATACTAAAGGCCTTCCTTTAGCCCTCGGAGTGTTAGGTTCTTCCTTATATAATAGGGATATAACTGTGTGGAAAAGTGCTATAGAGCAAATGAAAAATAATCCTAATTCAAAAATTGTTGAAAAGCTCAAAATCAGTTATGATGGATTAGAGTCCACGCAACAAGAGATTTTTCTGGATATAGCATGCTTCTTCCGAGGGAAAAAAAAAGATGATATCATGCAAGTTCTCAAGAGTTGTCATTTTGGAGCCGAATATGGATTGGATGTCCTAATCGAAAAATCTCTTGTGTTCATCACAGAAGACGGTGAAATTGAAATGCATGATTTAATACAAGAAATGGGTAGATATATAGTGAACTTGCAAAAGGATCTGGGAAAATGCAGCAGACTATGGCTCGCCAAGGATTTTGAAGAAGTGATGATCAACAATACGGTTAGAAAGCTAAACTATGCAATAATGTTGAATTTCTAATTTTCATATTTCAAAGACATATAGGCAGTCAATTCCAACTATTTGTTCATCTTGCTTCATCTTCTTGCATGCACGTCATTTTAGTTGCTTACTTTAGTTAGTAGGAGAAGCAAAAGTAATATTAATTGCCTAATTAGTTAAAAAAATATTAATTGCCAAATTTGTTTAGTAGCCTCTTTAATTTACGTTATTCATTTTTCTTATATTTTTTAGCGATGGATTAGTCTAGTAGCAACTTAATCTGTTTGATCCAATGTCATTCTTTGGATTAACTTGAAAATTTTATGACATTTTATTACATAATAACTCAATCATTGATTAACTTTACCATTATTTTTTTTTGAATAAAAAATTACAATTTATTGGTACTGTTTCAATTACAATTACTTTCCTACATGAAAAGCTTATAGACTTGACTCTAATGAACTTCTAAGAAAAATATAATAATAGAAAATAAAACTATATAATTAATTGCAAAAGACATCTGAAAAATAGTCATATTAGCAAGCAGATTTATACGACATTGATTATACTTTGTAGACTAATGATCTTCTTACCAGGGGACCATGGCAATGGAAGCAATATTTCTTCCTTATTTCGATTTTGATACATTACGCTTTAGCAAAAAGGCCATGGAAAATATGAAAAGGCTTAGGATATTTAACATAGGGAGGTCGTTGGCCCATGATGGTTTCATTGAGTATTTGTCCAATAGCTTGCGTTGGTTTGTGTGGTATTACTATCCTTTTGAGTCATTGCCATCTACATTTGAACCCAAAATGCTTGTTCATCTTCAACTCGTATGCAGTTCGCTACATCATTTATGGACGGAAACAAAGGTACGATAACTGAATTCTATTTTATTTTATTCTTCTCTCTAACTATTTTTTCTTTTAATTTAGTGATAATAAACAAATATTATTGCTTTTGTCATGTATTATTTGAGGTACTTCCCTTTTTTAGCTAGAATTAGTATGTGTTGCACGTGTATCCTAAATTTTGGTAAGAATATGTTAAAACACAACAAAAGATTATAATTGTATTATATTTTTAGAGTTTTGTACATTTTATGATTTTTTCTAGAAGCAAACCTGCAAAAAAAATTTAAAAAAAAAAAAAAAAAATTTGGGGGGGGGGGGGGGAG